TAGTCAAATTAACCATTGAGTAAAACTCAAGAGACATTCTATATAATTCAATTTTCAATGCTGTCCACTTAGTTTAGGGACAAAAGGGGTCTCAGATATATAGGAATCACATTTAGACCAGTCTGAATTCCTAAGTACAAAGCTGATTTGATATTCAGATAATTTTTCAGACTAAGAAAGGGCAAGAAAGCAGTGCCACCCAGGTATCTGAGGCAGTAAGTTTAATGTTTGGGGATGCGAAGTTTGAGGCTACAGAACATAAAGGCTCAAGGGAAGATGAACAGAGATTAAGGGGTTTAGATGCTAGGAAAGACTGTTGAGCCCTCTCATGTCAAGGGATTAATTTGCAGGATGCTTGCAAAACAACTGACAATATCTTGCTTTGGGCAGATGAAGCCTTTTGTAGAGAAATTACAGGATGACTAGGGTTAGAAGAAATCCATGAACTTCTTTTCTTTCCAAATAGCTCAAGGAAGAAGTGGGAGAAATCTGCAATCCTGGAATAGTAGTGTCTTAGGAATCTCAGCAGAAAGATAGAAAACAAGATAAAGAAGAATTTTTTCCTGGTGAAATCCATGTAGAGTACTCCTTTTTTTCTCAGGGTGAAGTAGAAGAAATTTCTTTAAAAGGTAAGACATTCAGGGAAAAGAAGGGACTCTGAATGAAAAAGTTCTACTTCAGATACAGAATGTAACCGTAGGCCCAAAAGAGAAGCTGAGGCCAGGGGCTGCTGAGGACAGAGGTGGCTCTGTCTTCTGGAGAAATAGGGGGATGGGGCAGGTCCTAAAGGAAAACCTGCATCCAGTGAGGGAGCTGGGTGCACACATGAGGACTGAGGGCGTAGCTCTGTGCTAAAGACTTTGTCCATCTGCCAGGCTCTGGGCTTGGTCTCTAGCAAACACACACATGCACCCAAGCAGGTGCACACAAAACAAAAGAGAAAGAATTATCAGAGGCCATTGCTTTGAACTTTTAAGCTCCTGCACTGCTCCCTAACACATCAGAGTAAAAATCAAAATGATGCTATCTGACCTGCTAAGAATTCCAGTTAGAGAGATAACAGTCAAGCTTTCCAAACCTGCAGAATTTAACGGTAGAATGAAATTCCTTCTGCTTTTATCTTTACATAAAGGAGTAACCAGAAATAATCTGATATTCACTGATTCACTGATTAGTTATTTTCTTATTATTCTGTCTCTCTGCCCCACCTTCCACAGGCAGTAACTATGAAATGACCAACCAATCACTCCAACAACTTTTTGTTTTCTTATTTTCATTTTCTTCACGCTCTTCTGTCTGTAAAGCCAACCTCCTCTGCTTGGACCACTGGAACATTTATTCTAGTTTCCAGAATAAAGTGTTGCACAATTCTGCAATGAATGACAGAGTCATTGGCTCTGGATTCTGTGGTAGAGTGCTTATCCAGCATGTGTGAGGTGCTACCACCAAAAAAAAAGCTAATTAATATCTTTAAACTAAGTTTTGTCCTTTGACACTAAATACTTAGGTAATAACCAAAATGATAACAGGGAAGCTACAGATATAACCTGTTGATGTGAATGTCTGCATACTCAGACATGCACATTGATAGATGCATTTTATTTAGAATTGTAAAGATATTTATCCACTATTACCAAGGTCACTGGCTAGGGAAGGGGTGAGAGGCAAAATGGGGGGCATTTCTCCTTGTTGACTCCTTTTATATCTTACTTGAATCTTTTACATGGACAATATAGCCATTTTCTTAAAAGTCAATAGGAAGACAGAAGGAAAGACTAAGCAAATCCCAAAAGAAAGCACTAAAGCCAAATTTTAACATCTTCCAGTTCCCCAACTGGGCATGGTGGTGCACATCTGTAATCCTAGCATTCATGAGACTGAGGCAGGAGGTTCACTGCAAGTTTGAAGCCAACCTGGGCTACAAAGTGAGTTCAAGGCCAGACTGAACTGCATAGCTTGGCCCTGTCTCAAAAAAGACAAAACAAAACAAAACAGAACAAAACAAATCTCCCAGTTCCCTTTCCTAAGTCTCCTAAGTCCTTCCTCCCACTAATATGCTTGCTGTGGAGAAGAGAGAAAGGCTTTTCATTTAATTAAAATGTAGAATTTTTTAACTGCCTGGTGGCCAGGGATATTCTGCTGACTCTGCATTGAATAATCAGCTTTGACCTAAATAATAGAATAACTCAAATTGGCAGCTGCAGCTGCCTAAGCATGATCCAAATCTGCAGTTCTTTTTTCCCTCTCTCCCTCACTCACTCCAGGCTCCCGCCAGGCAAGCCAGCTAAAGCAGGTTCTTTCCACCCTTCCACTCCTACCATCTGGCTCGTCTGGACTTCATTTCTCATCCTAAACGGGCCCCAGCACAGGGCTAGACTTGATCCCTCCTCCTCCCTCACAGCCTTGTCCTGGGGCTTTGCCCACCCTCTCTCCCTGTGGGGCTCAGTGCCCTGTCCTCCGGGGCTCTGTAGGATACATTGGTGGCATTTCTGCAGAGAGAGTGCCTTTCCCCAGTGCCTTTCATTGCTCAGAGGATGAAATCGATAAGCCAAAATGAAACAGCAGGAAAAAAAGCTCTCCTGTGTAAGCACGCTCGTGCCACACCCCGTTCTTCGCGGTGAGTGTGTTGCACTTGTGTGTGTGTGTGTGGGGGGTTGTGCATGGACTTGTGTACCTCGCTCTGCTGCAGCTCCAAGAAGCCTTCGCAGCTGGAGGACAAGGACATTGAGGAGCACGAAGCGTGGAGCAGTTCTCCACTTCCTCTAAGGAAGTAGCAGAAAGAAGGGTGAGTTTAGGATTTTTTTGCTTATGAAGGTAGAAAAATACTTAAACCTGTGTCTGGCAGACACTGAAAAATGCCCATCTTTGAAGGACAGCAGTGACTGCTGTTAAGCTGGAGGCAAACGCCTTATAGTTCTACTGAGAGGGCAGAGGAGAGGACAGGTATGCTTTACGGACTCTTCCACCACAAGAAAGAGAGAGCTTGTCACTTTGTCATCTGCATGGATTCCAAGTTTCTTGTTGGCTCGGGACTGGCAGTGTAGGTGAGGGGCAGCTCACAGCAGGGGCTGTGGGCAAGCCCTAGAGCTGGCTACAGGCAGGAACTACTCTTGTCTCTTGAGATAGTTTCGGGCCAGGTCTGCTGTGAGGGGCTCACGGGGGCTCCCACTACTCCAGAGGGTCTTTGTGCAAGGGTTCAAGCCCAGGGCAGGTTTGGGGACTACAAAGGCACTGCACAGCAGCTGGCAGGGACCGAACATCCTCAGCACTGCTGATTCCCAGTAGGAGGGTAAGGGTGGCCTCTTGTTTGAGATACTTCAGCAGCATCAGCAGGAAAAAGGAAATGTGCACAAGACACAGAAACAGCAGTGGCCAGCACTCATGTGGTTCCCCTTCCTCCCCTGTTAGCACGGCTGATGGTAGAAACAGCAACTTTTCCTGCTTTCCCACGCCCTCCTTTCTCCCCTCCCTGTAGCTCTGTGTTTGTTTTGTTTTGTTTTCCTGAGACAGGGTCTCACTATGTAGTTTAGGCTAGTCTTGAACTCATTAAGTGGCTCACACTGGCCTCAAATTTGTGGTGATCCTCCTGCCTCAGCCTTCTGAAGACTGGGATTAGAAGTGTGCGTCACCAAACCTGGCAGCTCTGGGTCCAGCTAAGAACAAAGTGACTGACATGACTGGGCCCTTGGCACCCAGTGCTATATAGAGGCACTCAGTGCTGTAGGGAGGCACTTGTCCCTCATCTCACACTGTCCATGTGCTCCCGAGACACAGGCTTATAATCTCCTCTCACAGTGGGGCAGTACAGGTAACTCTGCAAGCACTCGAGACACTGCAGTAAGCACAGGTGGAGCAGAGATGCAAGCCCAACAGCCTGGTTCTGGGGCCTGTATCCTTCTGTCTCCAAGTCTATGGGAAGACCTGACCCAGCACAAGGACTAAAGTCCCTGAACAAGGGTCTCAGCCCCACAATGTAACTTGCCTTGGTGGTATGGGGGGGCGGGTCCTATCCCAGGGCTGACCCCCATATCCAAAGAGGGCACAGTTGCCAATAGAACCCACAACTGCCTGTCCTGTGGGCAGTATTGAGGGTAATGAGTGGTCTTCCTTCTGCCTACAAACCAGTAGGATGAAAGGAAGATGCCTACAGGTGGTCTTGTGTGGGCTCTACACTTAGCTGAGGGTCTGTACATTAGGTGTCAGAAGACAGGAACCAAGCCAGCTGTGGAAGTGCAGCCTCTGAAATGTTATCTGAGTAATTGCTTGAGAAGTCAGCATTTGATTAAATGCTGAGGGTAGAATACTCTTATCCAGGATCAAGCCCAGAGATAAACTCTCTTCTCAGGGAGTTTAAAGTGTGAGTTGGCAAGGTGACAGAGAGGTAGACCGACTTCTGCCAGAAGCCAGAGTAGTCCTGCTGGGAGCTGTAGGAGAAGCCTGAAGGATGCAGAGTACAGGAAAGGGGGAATCAGGAGCCCTGAACCCCACTCAGCCTGTTGGGCAGTTTCCTTATCTGTTCTAGGGAGATAACAATATTGGCCCAGCTCACTTTATGGATTCATCATGAGACTCAAATCAGATAATATAGGGGGAAATGCTTTGTTCCTACAAAGAACCAAGTTAGTGAATATTACCATGCTTCCAAGACACTACTTAAGGTTTTTCTTTTTAACACCAGATAATTGTTTCAAAACTGACTCATCCAAAACACATTTGTAAAAAATACAAAGAAAAGTAATGGAAAACAACAACAACAACAACAAAAAAAAAAGGAGGAAAAGAAGGAGCACCAGAGACATAGGCCACCAGAAGGCTGAAAGAGGCTGTGTTGTTTGTTTTTGATGCAGTTCAGACAGTCTTTGAACTCACTATGTTGCCCAGGTTGGCCTCAAACTCACGGTGATCCTCCTGCCTCAGCCTTCTGAGTGCTGGGAATACAGGTGTGTGCCACTGCACCAGGCAGGAAGCTGTTTTGAAAGCAAGACACAGAGGACACTTACATAAGCAGATGGCGGCCAGGAGTCGAAGTCCAGACTCTGGAGGGAAGCAGGTGGGGAAGAGTGGCTGCAACACATAGTTGGAGAAGGTGAGGGCGATGACAGCTTGGTTAGTGGGGTAGATCACTAGCACAGCGATCCATAGCCTCAGGAACCTGAAGGAGAAAAAGGACACTATGCCAATGGGCCCAGGTAGGCGGGGATTCAGAAATCATCAGAGGAAAGCTTGGCTGAGCTGGTGGGCAGACATGAGCAGAAGCAGGGCCCTGGGGACGTGTTTCTTGTTTTCAGGAATGCTGAAGGCTCCCTCTGCCTGGTCCCACTCCCACCCAAAATGAGACATCTAACTCTCCACAAGGGCAATAAAATGATTTCATGATGAAGAGCTAAGTTTCAGCTAGCACTAACACAAGTCTTGGCATTTTTTTCTCTTCCCTTTCTTTTCATCATCTCTTTCACTCTGCCCCCAGCATCCAATGGTGTAAAAAATAAATTTGCAATCTCAGGGATCTAACAGCCAGGACATGTTAAGGGTGTGGCTATTTAATGCCTCTGCTAGAGAAAATGGGAGGCATCTTCCACACCCTTTGGCCCATAGGTGAGGGCTGAGTTCTTTAGCAGGGTTGTAGAAGCTAAGAGAACCAAAGATCAGGGCTGTACTTTAGAGGTAGGCTATCGTCTATGGCATGATGAGAAGATGGTGCATGTATCTTAGGCAGTCATCCTCATTTGTTAAGATAAAAAGACCTTGTGATGGCTTTCCCTGGCAGTCTGTGGTCAGTGCTGTCACACAGTTTTACTTGTTGTTGCTCATAGCCTCTTGCCCACCAAGGCCAAGATAGAGATTAAGAGTTCAACCTGGTTTCTCTGTCACTCTCAGGCCATCAAGAAGATACAATGTTAATATGAAAGCAAAAGAGAAATCTAACCTCCTTCTGCACCATTTTTCTCCTTTCCCCTCAACCACTCAGGCCTCCTCAGATATGCTTACCCAGCTAGTCCTCCAAAGATGTCCTTGACATAGGAGTAATCACCTCCGGATTTGGGGATGGTGACTCCCAACTCGGCATAGCAGAGGGCTCCCATAGCTGTGATAACACCTGTCACAATCCAAACGATGAGAGCAAGGCCCACAGAGCCAGCGTTCTCCAGCACACCCTTTGGTGAGACAAAGATTCCGGAGCCAATGATGTTTCCTGCACAGGGCACCAAAGGTAAGAAGGAAAGTCAGTGAGATCAGGAAGGTTGGCAGGACTGGCATATTTAGGGTGGTCACATCTCTGATATGATTCTAAAATGCCTCTGAGATGTGTAAATGACCTTCAAGCAGTTGTGTCTAGTAAAAATTCTCCCAAAAGTAGGTAAAGAGAAGCTGCAAACAACTTGTATTGATCAGGAATTTGGTCAAGTTCTTTACACATGTCATTTGAATCTATGGAGTCAGGATAACATTTCTGAGCCAGGAGTGGTGGTGTACTCCTGTAATCCCAGCACTCAGGAGGTTGAGGCAGGAGGATTGCTGTGAGTTTGAGGCCATCCTGGACTACATAGTGAGTTCAAGGCCAGCCTCAACTATATAGCAAGACCTTGTCTCAAAAAGAAAAAAACAATTCTCACATTTGACAGGGGAGAAAACAGTCTCAGAGATACTAAGTGAGCTGCTGACATCTCTGCAGTAGTAAGTGATGGAGCAAATGCTGGCTCTCAGGATACTCTTTGTTTTTTTTGTCTTTTTCTTTTTTACCAGTACTGGGGATCGAACTCACAACTGCCTGCTTGCAAGGCAGGTGCTTATGCTGCTGAGCTAAATCCCCAGCCCCTCTCAGGATACTCTTAGTGGGCTACACAATGGTCCATCCAAAGTGATAAAAGTCTCTAGATTGACTGAAAATAACAAAAGTGAAAAAGTGAGCTGGTCTCACATACAATGGACCAGCTGGATGACTTCAAAATGAGTCAAAGAGCAAAATGTTTTGGTGGCACCACACTGACTGGGTTTTCAAAACCTAGACACAACAGCCCCACCCTAAATGAAGTACATAAAATAATCCTTTAAAAATAATTCCAGTAGTCTGGAAATGGTTTGTAGAAATACAATATGCAAAGCCTCAGCACTATATTCCTCCAAAGGTCATTCCCCTCCAGTGTTTCACGTGACCATCACAACAACCTTTCACAATTCAGGAAGAAGACGAAGAACAAGTATTTCTCAATTTACAAACCAAGAGACTAAAACACAGAGGGTTAAACGGCTTTCTCCAAATTCCATAGTAATTCATGGGCAAAATTGGATCCTGGAGTCTCCTGAGGCTTAAACCAGGGTTCTTTTCACTAATCCATTTCTGCTGCTGTGTGCACGGGGTAGTTTTCTTTTGGAGGTGAGGTCTGTGGCAAGTACTCAATGGGTGGCCCTTGGGTTGTGTGCTGTGGACAGAGGAGGAGTAGGGAGCAGTTTCTGGCATGCATCTTCCCAAATTTTCCTTTGTATCTTTCTTATTTTTCTCTCTGGTACTGGAGATTGAACCCAGAGGCCCTCTACTACTGCTCCCTATCCTCAGACCTTTTTATTTTTTACTTTAGACAGAGTCTTGCTGTCTAATATGGCTTTGAACTTGCGGTCCTCCTGTCTTACTTTGTCTCCTTCTAATGATTAAAAGTGGTGCTTTTTGCCTCTATGATCATATACTTGAGAAGAACCAATTTAGAGGAGGATGGATTTATTCTGGCTTCAGTCCACAGTCAGAGGGTTGTATTGCTTTTAGAACTTTGGCAAGGCGCAGAAATATCATGGTGGAGAACAGGGTGAAGGAAAACCATTCACCTCATAGCAGCTACAAGGCAGAGAGGGAGTACAGCTGAGGAAGGTGCTGAGGACCAGATATAATCCCTGAGGTTACGCTCCCTGACCCATTTCCTTCAAATAGGGCTCACTCTTGTTTCTATCACTCTGCCATATTGCCATGAAATTGACTTCATGAATGGATTGATCCACTTATGTAGTTAGAGCTCTCAATATTCAGTAGCTTCCCCCAAAGCCCATCGGCAACCAAACCTTCAACACACTGGGCCTTTTAGGGGAAAATTTTAGAGCTCAACCATAACAGAAGTAATTTGGATCCCCTGGACAGGTGATTTGAAGTTCTCTCTCTATACCCTGCCCAGCTGTACCACTAAATGCCTGATGGGGAAAGCACAGGTTGTATAGATCCAAGTGGAGAGGCAGAGTTGGACTATTACAAGGCCAGTTCTCAGAACATCTTAAAACCCCAGCATCTCTCTTTAGTGGTTAGAGCCATATCTGAGGGCATGGTCAATTTTCAAATATTGACTTTCAGACCTAAACCATAATCCATCTCAATTCAGTCCTGAAACTTCCACTCTTAAACTAAAATTCAATAGAGGTCAGGCATCTAGCTACTGGAATTAAAGGGAAAGAGAAGAGATTATTGACACTCTAAAACGAACACAGAACATGCTACCCCTTTCCAAACTATAAAGTTGTAGCACGAGATAAGTAAAGAGCACAAGGAACAGTTCCAGAGAGCAGAAAACATCACCAACCAGTGAGGCTGAGACGGAGTCAGAGGGCTTGTGGCCAAAGCTAGAAACATTTCGGTTTTGAACATGTCTTGCGTATTTTGTGAGCATTCTATCCCAAAAGAAGTTACTTACAGGAAAGAAACTAAAAAGAAGAAACGACCATCATATCTGTGATAGAAATATCACAGAAAGAGTAGAGACAAAGAAGATCCTCAGGGGCACAAGTTCTTCAAAGGCTTTCCCATTTACCGTATGTTTATGTACACTCCTAAGATAGAAACAAGGAGACGTCTTTCAGCCTCCTGTCCCCTCCACCAGTTCCTGTCTGTGGTCTGAATGAAGTACTGACTTAGCCAAGACTAAAAGACCTGCTCACAATGGCCTCAGACACGGTATGTTCGGCCAGTGCAATGATGCTTCGCCTGCCAAAATTAAATATAGCTGTTCCCTGAAGACACCGAGCACTGAGAAATGAGAGAACTTGAGACAGGATTGCTAAACCTGCTGGAAGAAGACAGGAAATTCTTTACCTAGCAGGCAGCTATCAAAAGAATTATCCATAGGTCATTTCAAAGCCAGCAAAGGAAAGCCATAGAACTAGGGTTATGAAACTAGCTTAGGATTGCTGTATGATTTTGACTCTTTAATCTCATGACAAATAAATACCTGTGTCACCCCTTCCCTCAGGTCATACCAAAAATGTGTAAGTTTGGTAAACCCAGCACTTTACTGTCAATACATGAGGTAATAATTTTCACATAATCTTCAGATAACATTTTTTACATTATACCTGTCTAAAGGACACCATATATGTTATTGCTTTGGAAAGTTTGTAATTTTCAAGTTGTAATTTTTCTTGCTGTTGTTCTATTTTTCTTCATACTTGAACTACCAACACATATCCACACAAACCCTCTCCTTTATACTCTAAGTAGTTAAATAATAAACTCCGTAATAGCAGCAAAAAAACCCACCCTAGCTTAGGGGGTTAAGAAAACAATCAATACTAGGAAGAAAACAAGATTTAACTTTGGTCTTTAAGGTACTAAAAAGGAGACGGGCAGGGAGCAGCTAGGAATTTCTTAGAGCCAGGAATGATTGTCTCAAGGAGCAAAGTAGGCACGTGTGTTACTTAAAAGATCTGATCTTCTCAGGAATGAGGAGTCAATGTTCTACTAAAGGTTCCTGGCAAACAAACACGGCCATAGGGATCAGCAAATCAGTTCAGTGAGCAATTGTTTCCTGCCATAGGACATTTCTAGAGTGTGTACTTTCTCCCTGCTTGTAGATTGCAGGAGCCACTGGAAGATGGGATGACCAACAAACATCAGGTGCCTTTTGAGGGGTCTGACCCACTTCCTGCCTCTCTCTTACTCTGAGAGACTGGCTCTGTAGGGAGCTGGTAGAGTGATTGGGAGGGTCATAGTGGGTTAGCTTTGACTTAGGAGACCTCATATTACAGAAGTTTGGCTCCCCTTCCTTCAAAAAAAATCTTAACTTTAGCTAAATTAAAATCACGAAGAGAAAAGCTAAACAAACTTTGTCTCTCTCCATCTTTCCCTCTCTCCACTACCGACTCTCTGGATAATGAGGACTAAACTAGGGCCTTTGTGCTGAACCCATCCCCAGTTCTTTTTTATTTTTTATTTTGAGGTGAGAATCTCACTAAATTGCTAAGTTTCCCAGGCTGGGTTTAAACTTGTGATCCTCTTGCATCAGTTTCCCAGAGTGCTGGGATTACAGGCTGGCACCACCACATTCAGCTGCTTCTCCCTGATTCTAAAAAGTCACTGCCTCGAAAACCAGAATCTGAGACTTCCTCTACGTTAGCAGCCTCTGAAACTTGTGCAGAGTGAGAGTGCTACAGCAGAAGTATGATCTGGAGCCAGAAGGAAATTTACATTGTATTTATTCAAAAACAATTCCTACTAGATACAGTCTTTAGTGTGACTGATTAATATTTCTCTTCCCACTAGACTGTAAACTCCAAAAGCAGAACTGTGTTGCTTTTCTCCTCTGTGAGGGTTTCCTTGCAGAAGACAGTCCATAAGGTTTACTGAACACATAATGGCAGACATCATTTCTTGCCTTTTTCTTTAGAACTTCCAAATCCTGTAACACTATTGAGCGATTGTTTGGCAGCACATACACTGTAATACTTGAGTACCTATTATAGGCAAACGAATAAAGCAACTCACTTATTTTGCTGCTGAGGAAAGCAGACTGGTCATTATTACCACCTCCAATTTGTGGAGGAAGAAAGCAAAGCAACTATTTTATTCCCAATTTCCAAGCAGGGAAAATGAGAGAGTCATTATTAATCCTATTTTATGGATAAAGAAAGCAAGATCCAGAAAGGTAGTTATTTGCCTAACTCACAGAGTAAGTTAGTAATAATTGGATTAGAGCCTAAATATTCTGCCATAGCTTTGAGCTTTTCCCTGAAAATGGAAAACCTTCCCACATCTACTCAAGTCAGCTTCCTGTGCTCTCCTCTGCAGACAGGGAATGGGAAGCCACTTGTTAAAGACCCGGAACACGGCTGACTGTCCTCCTACTGCAGGGCTACCTTCAACGGTAATTTATAAAACATTCATGCCTATGACCTTTCTTGGTTCTCGTAACTGCTTTCTTAGGTGTGCAGGACAGGTACCAT